AGAATCGGGCACGTTCCCTGATGCCCAGAGAGGGGAGTAAAAATGCCTTTTCTTGGTTTCTGTCCTTTATGACCTGGCTGGAGGGGTTCTATCCTCATGTTGCACCATTGGTCTAACCCAGAGCCCTATGGTCTAACCACAGCAGGTGGCTAGCTACCTCCAAGTACATCCTAGACTTCAGGTTTTTTTCATTATGTGGAATCCCAAGTCCCCTCTTTTACAGCTTTTCATGGTCACATCATCCCTGGCTGCCATCTCCTCCCCTTCTCTGCTCCTGTACAGACAAAGCTGACCTTAAATCAACCTGCACTTCAGCCGTACCAGCTGTGTATAGCAGCATCTGCTTTGATGGACTGGTGCTTGTTTGATAAATTATTAAATATTTTGCATACCATCTCTGACCACAGGTATTGTTTCCAATCTAGCACTACCATAATGCTTTGAAATCAAGAGCAAGGGCTTTCTGAATTGTTCATCTTCCTGTCTCCAGCGCCCAGCAAAGTGTCTGCAAATAGGTGTGGCCCTGATGTGCATGGAAATGGATGCATCGTAACCAGTCAGTTTTTACTGTAACTCTTTAGAAAAAAAAACAAAATTACTTTTGTAATCTACATGTTTACCTTCTGAAGGTGACATGGTCTACACCAAAAATCATCAACTTATTTGATGACCAAAGTTGGCCCATAGATTTTAAGTTCATAAGCCAGGTATAGAAGATGACTTGAGTCACCTCATAACTTTTCTTTCTCTGAAGGAACAATTCTGGACTTGGGAATCAGACAACCCTGGGATCAAATGAGAGGCCTCTCTCATGTGACACAAAGTAGAGCCACCGACAAGGAAGAGACCTCAGTTGAGGAATTTCCTACATCAGGCTGGCCTGTGAGCACATCTGCAATGCATTTTCTTAATTACTAATTGATACAAGAGTATTCAGCGCACCGTGGGGGGTGCCATCCCTAGGCAGGGGGGCCTGGGCTGTATAAGAAATATGGGGAAGGGGGTATAAGGATGATTAAGATGTTGTGTATGAAATACACAAAAATTCAATAAGAAAAGAAAGTTAAGTAAGCAAGACTTGAGCCAGTGAGCAGCATTCTTCCATGGTTTGTTTCAGCTCTAGCCTCCAGGCTCATGCCTTGAGCTCCTGTCCTGACTTCCCTCCATGATAGAGTGTAACTTGTAAGATGAAATAAACCCTTTCCTCCCCAATTGCTTTTGGTCATGGTGTTTATCACAGCAAGAGAGATCAACCAGAATACTAGTTAACCTCTTTGTGATCTATTTCTTTATCTTCAAAAGGGGGAAGTGGATATCTCCTTTTCAGGGTTGGTATGACAACTACATGAGGTCATGTATTTAAGGGCAAAGTATATAATCCTCGTGT